GTGTCTGTGTGTGTGTCTGTGTGTGTGTCTGTGTGTGTCTGTGTGTGTCTGTGTGTGTGTGTCTGTGTGTGTGTGTGTGTGTGTGTGTGTGTGTGTGTGTGTGTGTGTGTGTTGGGGGGGGGCTTTGCAAATGTTTACTTACACATCACTAGCTTGTGCAGTCACATTCTCCTTTTGGTATGTTGATGTGCAGATGTATTGTCCAGAATTCTCAGCTGTTACGTTTGAGAAGAAAAGAGTAGCTGATCCAGTGTTGTTGTGGAGGTGAACTCCATGGACTGATTGTTTAGTCCACGTGATAACTGACGGAGGGTAACTTTCAACACTGCAGGTCAGATTCAGATCACTCCCCTTTTCAACTGTTGTGTTTCCAGTGATCTGAAGTTCTCTTTTGTCTGTGGAAGACATTCCAGACTTTTAATACATCAATCCATCCATTATCTGTATCTTCTTCTTACTTTCTGGGTCATGGGGGTCACTTGTGCCCATGTCCAGCAGTTACTGTGCAAGAGGCACCATAGCCAGGTCACTAATCCATCACAAAGCTACTTACAGACAACAAAACTAACGCATTCATGAAAAGTATGTGCAAATGTCACACAGAAAGGCATCTGGAGGAAGACAATCATGCAACCTTCTCCCGGTGAGGCTACAGGTCTAACTACAGCACAGATGTGCCACCTTTTGGTTGTTTAAAATATCAAAGCTGATATAACCGTTGTACTTACAATTCACTGTTACATTAGCTTGTGCAAGGGCACTTGTGTTTAAGTGCGTTGTTGTACAGATGTACTCTCCAGAATCTTCTGTTGTCACATTTGTGATTTTAAGAGTAGCTGATCCAGTATCATTGTGGAGATGAATTCCACGAGCTGAGTGTTTGGTCCATTTGACAACTGATGGAGGGAAACTGTCAACTCTGCAGGTCAGTTTTAGAAGATCACCCTCTTTTACAGCTGTATTTCCAATAATCTCAGGATTCCTTTTATCTGTTAAGGACATTGAAGTATTTTAGAACAGTTTAAAGTATTTTATTCTGATGAACCATATTTAATAGTCAGTTTCATTCCGTGTCAACAAGATATACTAAATCATTTCTGACAACAGCATACACATACAAAAACATGAGAAAAATAAATATCCATTCATTTTACTTGTGTACAGAGCAACAAGGAGCTAACTGGTGCTTAGGTCCAACAGTAATTGTTGAGAGGCACCCTGGTCAGGTAGCCATTCCATCAAAGGACTACATCTAAACACAATCAAATATTGGGATCTGATAAGACTGAGTCCTTTAAATGTTTCGTCTTTTATCCAAAAGACCTTCAGTCTGAGGAGCTGCAACAAACTTAGTTTTATAAGCAGTACCTTCACATAGTGATCAACCAGTTTGCTGGTGACAGACAAAACTAGCTGTTCACGTGCACAAGGAAGGCCATCAGCCTATCAACTGATCGTTTGTGCCCCGATAGCCGCTTGTTATTCACAGAGAGCTGAGTGACGCAATAACCACATTGTAAGAGGGGGATAATTGGACACAAAGGCCTCTGCCACAGTTTATGGATGGGCCGGTTCTCTTTACAAAGATGGCTTCCTTTATTCCTCTCTCAAACCAACATTCATCTCTGTCAAGGATGTGCACATACATTATACATTTGGGAAACTAAACAGCCACTAGCCAAAAGGATGGCCCAGCACAGAAGAGCAACATCATCAGGCCAGGTCTCTGTGGTTTACTCTCTTCTGCAGGCCAGCGGTCACTCTTTCAGGGATGACTGCTTCAGATTACTTCCTGAGCAATAGCAATGTCACTGCCTGTAAAGGCATGTGTGTTTAAAGAGGAACTAACAAAAACAAAGTTCCTTTTTAAGAAAAATTATGTCTCAACAACTTACTAAAACTGAAGTGCACATTTTGCATGTGTGTATATTTTCTGCCCAAGTTTTGCTAAAGTAGTGAGAAACAGAAATAAACACCCTGAGACAGGATGAGAACTTTTGAAAAGGAGGGGCCAGTGCACGTATTGGGAAGCATTTTTAATGTCATGAACTTTGTCTATAACAAACCTACTGAAATAATCAAGTGCAATATACTTGCAAATTACTGTTAAATTGGCTCCTTCTGTCAAAGTGCTGTTCAGATGTTGTGCAGAGCAGATGTAGTCCAGCATGTCCTACTGTCACATTAGGGATGGACAAAGATCTAGTTCTTTTGTTTTGCTGCTGGATTTCAGTGGTATTATACATTTTAGTTTCTTTTCCAAATTTAGTCCATCTTAAAACTGAAAGTAGGAAGCTGTCAACACTGCAGTGCAGATTTAGACCAGCCCCCTCTTTAACAGCTGTTTCACCAGTGATCAGAGGCTTTTTTCTGTCTGTGGAGTACAAAACACTTAAACTTTGATCACACCATTTGTTAATCAGTAACATTCTCTCTAAGTACATGTACACTTAAGGTATCGCAATCTCACCTTAAATGACATATATGATTCTGATTGTGTGTGTGTGTGTGTCATATTAGAAATTATTTTGCAATCCCATCATTTCAAGATGGCCACCATAGCCATAACACAACAATTGCTATACCTCAGTTAGTTTTACATATATTTACCTAAAATTTAGGTGTTGGAAACAGAGTAGTTCAGAACACGTACACTCAGCACTATGCACTGAGCAAAATCTTTGATAAAATTTGGAAGTCAACTCTGTCCCTTTGCAAATTATAGAAAATGTGCAGTACGCCGATGTCCTCCATCACCGAGGGATTTGAATAGTGAATGTTTTGAGCTTTTGAATAAATGTATTTTATTTATTTATTTTATTTTGTATTCCAAGGCAGTGCAGAATGACAGATCCTGGCAGGTGATGGTTGCAAATTTATCCACCACCAAGTGCAATGGTGGAGTTAGGGGGTAGCTAATGGTGGTCTTGGACACCATTAAGTTTCAGCCACCCCAAGGGTCACCCCAGCCATATGAAGAAACTGTACAAGCAATATAAAATCTAGAAAGCACAGTTTATTGAAAATGATAGGGGTGGCCAATTTACAAATTTGTATGGTAGTGGCCATCTTAGATTTTGACTTGACGACAAAATGTTCAAAAGGAAACTTTCTTAAGCCTAGATGCAGCCACACACCAAAATAGAAGTTGGCATGTTGCTTATTTTTCAAGCTGTAATGCTCTAAACATGGTTGGACATTTATGGTGGCAGCCGTTTTGGAATTTGTTATGGCAACCCAATTTTTAATAGTGGCCTTTCTTACTCCTAGATCCAGCCCCACACCAAAATGGATGTCAGCACATTGCTTATTTTTTTAGGTTATCCATTCTCAAGGTTTACATTATGTACAAATATGATGGCAGCCATCTTAGATTTTTATGTGGCAACGCAATTTTCAATTGACATTTTTTTATGCCTAGAAACAGCTGCACAGTAAAATTGAAGTTGGTACATTGCTCATTTCTCAAGTTGTACATGCTCACAGTATGGATGAACATTTATGGCTTCAGCCATCTTACATGGCAACCCACTTTTCCAAAGGATCCTTTCATCTGGATGCAGCCACGCATAACAAAGGAAGTTGGTACCTCACTTATTTTTTTAAGTGATCATGCTCACAATATTCAAGGACGGACGTACAGAGGGTGTTTCCTCTTTTTAACTCTGCGAGGGAGGACAACAATCATTGCATGTACATCTACATCTTATTAACGTTTAGATTCACCTGGTTAAAGATAGTTTTTATATCTAATCAAATTTAGCCATCACAAGAATGGCTATGACTGTCAAATACATCAACAGAAACTATCTTATCACCAGCAAACTGGTTTTTCCACTATGGGAGTGTAGTGGGACTCCAGGTTGTTTGTGGCTTCTTGAACTGAAAAAGTCCTTCAGATGAAGGGCGAAATGTCTCAGTAAAATAAATAAATTGTCCAGATGACCTGACTGAACATTGTTGGGCCAGTTAAATATCTTCTCGTGCTGATGAGTATGGTTCTTTTATGTAAACAAAGTTAGTGAAAGAGATTTTCTTCAACATGTCTATAACTCCATCACGTCTCATCATACAACGATTTTAGTTTGAAACTCTGACTTGAAAAGTGATGCACAATATGCCCCTTTCAATGTACGTTTGGGTTTTCATTTGTTCTGAAACTGACATTTATGTCCTGCTTTAAATAATTGTATAACATATATGTCAGAAATGCACTAAACTGATAAATAATGAATGAAGCATTGGAACAGCCAGCCCATATACCAGTCTGAAACATGCTGGGATTCTTGATCATTCTGACATAATCTGGACTTTGCACACAAACAACTCCCATTTGTTTTAAGTTTTCAAAGGACATCATTAGGAAGTTTACCTTTTAAGAGCTAGATTTAAATTTCTTTAAACAATCATTAAATGATAATGGTTTTTTTTCCAGTAATGCATTGAAAGTACATTTAGTGATGCATGCAAAGTTTAATTGACAAACTAAAATAAAAGTTGTAAGAGTTTATCAACATTGAGAAAACATCACGTTTTTAAAGAATAATGTACTCACAGATCACGTGCAAAGTTTCAGTCGTCTTTGTAGTTGTGTCACGTGCAAAGCTGACCCTACAGGTAACGTTGGTGCCGTGGTGTTCAGATGAAGGGTCAAAGGTCAGAGTTGAGCTGTGTCTTTGTGCGACTGCAGTCAGATTCTCAGTGTGGAAGTCAATGATGTTTCCTGTGAACTGAGAGCGGTTCTCTCTCGTTCCTCTCCACGTCCAGGTGATTTCAGGACGAGATCCAGAGCAGAGACCAGGAGCAGTGCAGGTCAGGGTGGCCTTCTGTCCCTCCATCAGAGGAGGAACTTTCACTGTGGGTTTCTGACTTAGACCTGAGGAAGGACAGCTTATTTTAAATAATTATTTAGTTATAATTATAATTTTTATTTAATTGTTTTATATTCTATTACTAGTAATTATATTTCATAATTAATTATAATTAATGTTTGAAACATTTAATTTAAATATAACAGCAACTTTTACAGAAGATAAGGAAAAGTTGCCCAAAGAGGACAAATAATCACATTTAGTTCAAGTAAAAGGGCAGAGCATGTACATTTTACCTGTCACAGAAATATATGGTTTTGCACTGTATGTTAATCCATTTGTCTTATTATTTAAGACTCCAACAACTCTGAGCTGATATGATCCAGAATCAGACCGGAGAAGATCATTGATCATGATGCTGCAGTTCTTCTTACTCACGTCAGGCTGCAACAGGGACACTCGTCCTTTGAACTTAGCCTGAACGTTGTCACTGTTTTCAGAATCAAATATGTGATAATATTGACATTTTCCATTGGAGGGTTCACATTTATACCAGATCAAATGTTTGGGTGTAAATTGTCTGTCAGTAGTAAAAGAACACGGTATCACAACACAGAGTCCAGCCTTTGCAGTTATGATTCCATCACTGAACGTAACACAATAATTATTTAAAGAACAGCTTTTTCTCCAGACTGATGCACCTGTTAAAGCAAAGAAAAAGACAAAAGAAACAGACCAGTCTTAGTTTTTAGTAAAACTATTTTATAAAGCAAATCATCAAAAACAGACTAATACACTGACAACTCCTATCTTTGTGTACTTCTACACAACAGGTGGATAAACATTTTAGACATATGGAAACAAGGATGACTGTTTTCATTGTCTCAATATATAAATGTTTTATTCTATATGCAATTTAAAAAAAGAGCAAAAATGGAAACCTGTTGGAAAACTGCTGTCAGAATATATAATAAAAATACACTATATTTAGTTTTAGCATCATTTAAATGATATTCATACAATACCTCCATCAGCATCAGTGCCTCTTGCAGACAAAAGCGCAAAGATCCAGGTTAGAACAAACATGATTTGATGCTAAAAAGTTAATTTCCTTCTTAAAGAACAAATGATCTGCAGAAACGAAATCAAAGATCAGTCAACATTTTGCATCAAAGATAAAGTTTAACATGTTGAAGAGTTTATCTGCAGTTACAGTATCAGACTTTATCAAGAGCAATTACTATTATTTTTAATAATTTTGCGATATCTATTCAGTACAATTTTATATTTCAAGGATTCCAGGTTCTTTGTCATTCGCACCCCATGTGGTACATGTGGTGGAACAAAATTGTGTACACAGGGCCCCAGTTACATCCAACAATAATATATAAAAGAAAAACAGTAATAAGATCTAAGATATGAACTAAGAAAAACATCAACTAAAAAATACACTAAGCACTAATAACATAAAAACAATACGCCGAACAGCAGCATGAACATGAGTCTGGGTGAGTAGATGAGCACAGCAACATGAAACAGATCAGCAGCAACATGATGTGGTTTTTCACAGTGATTATTCTGGTTAGAGATTCAGGAGTCTAACAGCCTCAGGGTAGAAGCTGTTCCTCAGTCTAGTGGTTCTGCACTTAATGCTCTTTAACCTCCTTCCTGAGGGGAGTGGGGCAAAAAGTGTGTGTGCTGGGTGAGTGGGGTCCGTCATGATGCAGGTGGTCCTCTTCCTGCTCTAGAGGTGTAGATGTCTATGATGGTGGAGAGACTGACTCCATTTATGTCCAATATATATAAACAGATGAATATCTACATATCGTCAACATATCAAAAAACATTTGTCATTGCTTCGTTTCCAGATGTTTAGGTTTCAGTTTTTCAGTCAAATAAACAGGAACAGAAAAATCTTTAGCTACAACTTATAAAATATAATCTGTATTTATGTCTGTCATGTTTCCTGATGCCAAGATTTCAGTTTCTTGTCATTTAATGAACAAACACGATCTGAGATTGAAAAAATAACTTTACCAACAGAGTGACCTGTCACAAGTTACTCTGATACAATGACTTCAATTATTATTCTATAATTATAATCTTTATACAAAGTAAATGATGCTTACCTTTTCTTGTCTTGTCCCCCTTCTCTCTCCTCTTCTTCACAGATCTGTTTTAGAGACTTCCTTATGTAGCATTATGTTTTAAGGAAGCTTGTGGGTTCAACTCTGTTGCACAGCAGTAAGTCTGATGAGTCATTGTAGTTCTAATGTAAAAATAATACATTTTATGGATATTTACGTTGAGTTTAAAGCTATTCCTTATTTAATTATTTAAAAAATAAAGTATGTTTGGTTGAAGGATTTTTTTTTTTTTGTCTTTTTGACTTAGAGGCTGTGAAACTTTTGCTAAAGGAAACTGAAAAACAAAAACGTTTCATTTATTGTCACTTCAACTTGTATGGTTTTCATGATCTACTGTATATAGATATGTGTGTGTGTGTGTGTGTAATTCTGTTTTTTGCAGTTTGAGATACATTAAAAATTAAATTGAAAAAACGATTGTAGTAACTGCAACAATGTATCATTTACAGCTAAATATCTGCATGTTTTAAACCATGTTAAAATGAACTTGTAACAGATAGAACATGTTTTTACTTACAGATTCAAATGAAGCAGTTTGTTTTCAGCATTTCCTCATTTCACCAGTGAGACACTTC